GGATTGTCACTTATGACACCTTCGGGTCCTGTGAGAGAAGAGAAGCTTGCGTTGGCTAACCATGCTTTACTCAGCTTTGTTGGAATTGAAGACAACTCCTGAGAAACATTGGAGTACTTCAAACAGGATATTGCAAGAGAATTTCAAATTTCAATGACAATTGGAGGTAAAACTACAAAAGAGTTGTCTGCAAAACGAAAGGGCATTGCCAAGAATTTATGGATGGCAAAAATAAGAGACTGTGTGGCGAAAACATTTCCCATGACGTTGAGTAGCCTAGCTTAGTATTTGATGTCGATGCATTTTTTGAAGCTAGCAAGCAGTAAGGTTTTTAGTGAACTACTTAGACTTGTGGCCTTAGACATCTATTATGAGGATTTATGCAATATCTACATGTAATAAAATCCACATTTGATCCAAGTATATACTTCCTATTAAGCAAATTCTATTTTCACTTGAGATTTCATGCACAACTTAAGAAAACGGCGAAGTTGGAATGGTAGTACTACCCTGCGCATTGAATTTCGACCCCATAGCGGGAGAGTTGGAATCGGATGCATTATTCGTGAAGTCATACAGCGCAGTTCCTTGTGAATCCATCGTGTCGAGATAATGTCAAAAAATTTCCAATAGAGTGGGAAACTACCGTACTCCTCGAAGAAACTTGAAAAAAGTGTGAATATCCACATGAAGTTGAAGTTTTTGTAAAAACCGAGTTTACAGGCGGAAGTGCCTGGTACCCCGGAGCGATCAATTTTTTTGCCATCTGAGATTTTTCAAATCGCCGCTCTCTCCCGTGTGGAAAGGGGAGTAACCAGCCAACCAATGACAGGTGAGATTTCATTGCCGCTGCCGGTCGTGTGGTTTGGCCCTTAGTGTTTGATTAGATAATGATATACAATGCATTGCTGCAGCTTTCATCGTTCTCTCGGTTGTTGAACTTCTCATATAAGAAAGTTAATGCAACTAGCAGCAAACATATCTATTTTGGAAATTTAGTGGTTATTATTTTAATCATTCAGTCGCATAATTGGATGAGTTTTCTCCAAGAGACCGAAGACTGAAGACATTTGCTCAGAGCTCTGCAAACGGATAATGAAGTAATACACAGCACACATGAACACACTTCCAAAACTTTGTAGTCCCTTTTCTTTACTCCATGAAATTGAGCTGATAGCCTGTGTTATTACTTGTAACGGTACTTGCATAGAAGCATAACATATATGAATCTAATGAAATTCATTCAAGAGTTTATTGCATATCAGATTTCCGGAAAAGTTCAACCTCCCATAGTTACCAGGTGACTTCGTAATTCTAAATGAGGAAAAACTTAGGTCTCAATGTTGTGAACGAGTGCTGATTGATGACATAGAACTTTAAACGTTTATCTTTCCTTTCTTTAGCAATAGAGTTTAACATTATATGTAATGTGATGAAGTCAAAGACAAACAAATTTTGATGTGTTGTCGTTCTGGAGCGAGTTAAAGTTTATGTACAAATTCTTCATTATACATAGTTTCCAGAATTTTTGCTCAGTCTGTTCCAATATGATTAATTGTATTTAATTTTCAGAGAAAGAATCTGTAGCTTTCGTGGTTTGTTTACAAGATCTCGGTTTATTGAACTGAGTTGGTTGGATGGTCAGACTAATTTGTGTATTTGTTCTTATGGTCAGGAGTGAATACTTGGATCAAGCTGCAGAAAAAATGGTGATCAGTTGTCGCAATTTCACCAAGACTACAGAAGCTTGTAAGAAGAAGTATTTAGCTGAGTTCACAAAGTACAAGAAAGACAAGTTGCACAATGTTGTAATTGGTGATGATCAAAAAATAACATGTAAGTTCCATGATGAGCTCAACCTCCATTCTAAAGTTCAAGTTTTTGTGCATCCCATCCACCAGCAATGTTTGCACCCAACACAACATCCTAATAGTAGAACACATTTTAAGCACATGGAGCTCAGTCAAATAAGTGGTGGCCTAAGGATCAGTGTATGTACCTGACAGGTAAAAACTCACAAAGAACAAAGATTTAATCAGAAAAGACGATGGGAAATGTTCTCAGCCAGAAAAACTTGGCAAATTGTGATACATGGTATTCTCCTAACAAACATTATCGTCTGAATCCCAATAAATATCATAATCTCTTGTGTTTCGCATGACATGCTCTGTAAACAAAACTTTAGCTAAAACCCCATGCATATTTATACCTTCTCTTAACAAATGCATATATGTCTACTCTCTCATACTCACATTAGGAAAATACTCAATCTTCTCATTATCATTCTGTACTGAAGATGCATTTCGATTACCATCACTAACAGCATGTAGTTGTTGACTTTCATAATCTGCAATCCTTTGAATTGCCTCACTTCTCAACGGCCCATACCAACCAACCCGATTTTGTTTCAGACATTACTCTGCTTCTAAATGTAGATTAGTATTGACCCAATCTTTGTGCATTATACACAAATTGTGTAATAAAATGCACGCAACAACAATATCTGCAGTGTGTTGTAATGGCATCTCGATCCTGCGCAGAAGAATTCTCCACCGATCTTTTAGTAAACCAAACATCCAACCCACACACATTCGTGTAAACGACTGCACAAAATTCCAACGAGCTTTCCACCGTTCCAAGACCTCCTTAGTTCTCTTTTAAGAAACATACATGTATGGCCTCAGCTGATAAGCTACATCTCCAATTAATTTGTGAGGAAAATATTTGCCTTCCATCACTCGTCTCCCTATTACAAAATTTTTGAAGATAGTATAATCATGTTGAGAACCTGCCCAACCAAAATCAAAATCCCAAAAGACACACTCCATATCAACAACCTCATGCAAAAGGCATGAATCAAATTCTACCTTGTTGTAAAATACTTCCTTGTCTTGAAGTGAAGCAATTATTGCTATATGACTGCAATCTTTATATCCCATAATATTTGGAATCCCATGAATTTTTTCAAATCGACTGGCATCATCTTTAATACTACTTGCAGTCCACTTTGGCACAAACAGCGGAATTCCTATTCGTACAAGAATCGCACAGAATTCTCTTACAATAATAGAAGCAAGCCCTTCACTAATATCGTACAAATCATCTCGTGAGATCATTTCCTGTTCCAATCGATTTAGAGCAACAACTATCATGTCTCGAACCAAACAACTAAGGGTTCCTTTGCAAAGTTCGTCCACGGAGAGTTAGTAAGGACGTAAGTAGTCGAACTTCAATTGCCCTACCTCGTGCATCCTTCTTCATCTCCGGACCTACTAATCCTATGATAAATTCGAATGTCATTGGCAGAATTTGAAATCTTTTCACAAATTCCCGCTTTGAATATATTCCAAGAGTACAATATCTACAAATCTTCGGTGTCTTTTTCCACGCCAAATCTGTTTTGGAGCCCGACCGAAATTCCCAATTCTTTTACAACTGCTTCAACAATCCCTTGAACTCATAGAAGAATTGCAAAAACAGTTTCCTTCTACTCCATTTGTCTCTCAACAATGATACGAGATACCAACATACATATGAAAGCGAGAGGTATAACATTCTGCTTATCCATTGTGTAGAATTGCAAAGGAAAATCAAAAACTTGTTAGTGGTGATCTCACGTTGAGAAGCACGTTATGGCGGTAGTCGCAATACCCAACGTAGCTAACTAGCAGTAAACAAAAGCCAATCTTCCCATGCGATCAAAAGCAATCTTACAAGAAGAATAGTTGCGTCCATCCCCTAATTATTCGCTCATGCAATCACTATCCTTTCAAGCGGCGGGACCACTATCCATTGTTCAAGCTGAAAATTCCTTGCTATGAAAATGTGAGGGAGAGTATACACTTTCTCACTGTCACCTCAAGTCAAAGCCACGTTGGTTTTTGAAGATGCGAAAAATGTCATATAGCTCATTGCTCTCGAGCAAAAACCGCGATAGGGTTCATTTGATTGAATTTCTACGATTCTGGAAGACAGTTGTTTCGTTTGGAATGTAGATTCCCTGTTGTTCCACGAAAATAGCATATGCAATAGCACATGTGCCCAGAAAACTAATAACCTGAGCAAAGTACCAACTTTCTCATTGTCTGATAGTGGAATCAAGTTGTTAAGAAATGACATGCATTCTCTTTACAAGAAATGTCGTGGTACTTGATCCAACCTATCCGCTTGGAGTACTATCCTTGTCTAAATATGGCCCCAACTTGGCACGCAGATTATTTCGACGGTATGTGACCCCCGGTTTTGTAAAAGAGCCCCTTATGCTAGGACATGAAACAGTTGATGATGTAAGGGATACAATGATCCAAGCTTTTACTTGATGTACTTACGAGACACATCAAAAGTAAGTATGTATGATATAATTATGAACATTTGACTTCCAATTAAACATGAAGAATGAGACAAAATTTAACCATCAACATTAACTACTAACAAATGTCACAGTCACAATTGCAATAATTACAAACATAAATCTATAAGCTTTTACTTGAAAGAATAATCTTAAAAGATAATGTAAATATTTTCTCATCCAAATATATCAATCAATTTGTCCTTTTGATGTAATATCATATTATATTGAGTGTTATGATAGTATTTGAAGAGATCTTAAATCATTAAAATATAAAATGTATGTATATATATTTCATCAATAAGATTCAAGGATATATTTACAAATAAGATATATTATTATTCAAATTTTTAATGACATGAAATTGTTATATGAATGTAAAGTCATAAAGAACCTTTTCTTAAAAATTACACAGAAATGAATTAAAATATTATGAATACAAGAATAGATTTAGACTGTCATCACGGTGGAAATCAGAATATAACACTAATTGAAACAATGAAAAATATGATCCAAAAGATGACATTACAGGACTCATTAAGCGAACATGATTAGTGTTGCTGGTTATGATCACGACGGCATGAGAGTGTCAGGTACGTAGTTCGAACTACGCAAGCCACAGTCGGGGTTTAGGCTGGCGAAAACCCCAAGCACCATCCCACGCTTCACTAACATTGCCTGACATGGCATTCGCTTCCCTTCCCTTCCCTTCCCAATTAATTGCCTCTCTGATTCGTTCGAGCTTCGCGGCTAGCGATCGCTCTCCCTTCCTCTGAATTCCGAGGACTCTGAATTGTTTTCTGCACTCGATGGCTTCAGTTCTGATGACCCTGCTCGAGAGCTCATTACAATCGCTTTGTTAGTCTTGTGAGCTGGATGCGATAGACGGAGAGAATGGCATCTCGACGGGTTTTCTCCTTTTCTGGATGGCGTGCTGCCACGGCAAATAGTAGCTGCCCTCAGTTCCAAGATGGCCTCCAGCAGCTGCTCGGATTTCTCATTGCTCGACATGCTTCATCCTCGGCTGTACTGATTGAAGATAAGGTACATTTTGTACTTTTCACTCCTCGACTCACTGCGTTTTATTTAAATTCTGGCCTAAATTGAGTTCATATGGTCGAAGATCATTCTCAATGATCCCTGCCAGCTTCATGACAGATCAGAGCATTTTGGTGAATGACAAATCAAACTCCATCGGAATTGTACTCGGAAACCTTTTTTGTTACAACGATTGCATCCTTCTTAACGAATCTCGACAGTCAAGAATATGAGCACTATCATAATTTATCATTTCTCTTCTTCATCACCTTTAACTTTCAGCATGTGGATGTAAAGCAGAACTTGGAGAAAGCCCCTGTGACTTTAGAAAAATGGGTTGAGCTCCCTCCCGTACCAAAAGCAGTTCCAATGAGACCAACTTGGGGGGAAAAACTCTCAGAAGCTGATGGATCATATGAAGAAGACGAAAAGCACGAGATCGAGTTCGGAGCTCATGAGCTAACTGCTGTTCGGTGGGTGGCTAAATGTTGTCCAAGTGTTCCAAATAGTCTTATACAGAAGCTATTCCGTTTGCGCCAGGTGAGCATATACGTATATTCTGTTGAAACCAGCAGTGCGTGCAATACGTCTTTTAGTCTTTTAGTTTTTCACTTTGTTCCATCATGTGTTTCGGCTCTCTTGGTGCTCATATCTGAGTATGACCACAGGGCGTCGGTAGATTACTGCCTTGAGCTTTTTGGAGGACATTGTTCAAAAAAAAAAAAATCTATCACTGGAAGTGTGCTCTTATCTGACACAGAAGTGGATGTCAAACTGTCTGATATTGTCACAGATTCGTCAGCGTACTCCACAGAAGAATGACGGACTCACGCATTTACAGCTTCCAAACGACAGAGTAGATGTCCAGAACAAAGGAGGGGGTCTTAGAAGGGTATGTGTCTTCATTCGTGTTGTCCTCGTGGAGAAATGCGCATCTCACAGTTTCTGAGGTCTACTGAACTTAATCTATTTATTTCGTACTCTTATTTTTTCCTGCGGAAAGACTTCGTTGAGTTTTTCCTTTTGTTTTTATCATAAATGCAAATGACAAGCAAAACACTGGACGAGTGTTTTAGCTCCTACTAGCATAGATGATTATCGGTGCGTTGCAACAATAATTCTAGTGAGATCGTCTGTATGATATATGCTTGCTCAATTTTTGGCAGGTCTCGGGGAAAGCGATCGTAGAAGAAGGGACACTACTCTATGTTCCCAAGAGTGTTTTCCAACTTGAAAAAAGTGAACTTCTCAAGTTTCAGCAGAAAAAGACTGAGCATAAACCAACACCTGACGAAGTCTCATGGCTCCAAAGTCTTGTGCTACATAAGGCATGGCTGCCCCTTGACTTGCACGCTTCTTCTCATTTGACTTGTACGGACTCTCCTGAAAGTGCTCCTGTAGATTTTGACCGATGAACACAAAAAGAGGCATGGGCCATCTGACGAGTGATATGTCGTTTTCTCTCTGAGTAGAATTACCGTAAATACTTGTGTTTCAAGCTCTCACATACGCTCATTTCTCTTGCATGTCTGACTGATCAATGTTTGTGCAATTCAGGATTCTCAGATTCTTGTAATCAATAAACCACCTGGACTACCAGTGCAGGTAAGGAAAATTAAATGGTATTTGATATTTTCTTGTTAAGACAAATGATTGTGGCAAACTTGCAGCAAATTTTATGGTATTTCCGTTAAGTCGCTCATGTTAATCTGATAAAGCCTGCATGCTGACATTTTTGTTGAATATCATCGTTCCTGTCTTTACCCAACCTCTACGGGTCTGAGGCTCTGTGATTCGCAGCCTATGACAGGAAAGTTTAATAAGTACCGTGTATCTCAGCTTAACCTTCACATATAATGTGAATCTGGTTGTTTTCGTCAGGGCGGTAGTGACGTTAGGAGGAGCTTAGATTCTTTAATGGGGAATGCACTTCGATACGATTATAGCGATGGACCTAAATTGGTAAGCTGTCCAAATTCTTTGCCCAAATAACTTGCTTGAATATAGCAGATAGAATCGGTTCGTATGTAAGAAATATAACCGTAGACCCTTTTGTTGGTCATTCGTTTCGAACGCTGCGAGATGCACTGACGAAATTGCAGTGTTGTGGGTCAAAATCAGGTACATAGGCTAGACAAGGAGACAAGTGGAGCAATGGTGCTGGCACGAACAGAAGAAAGTGCCACTTTTTTGCATGCTCTCTTTCGAAATAAGACAGCCTCCGCTTCTGCATCCTCTAGGGTATAGTCTCTTATGGTCTTTACGTTTTCTTACTCTCCCATGCTTCTTTAGAAATTTTCTAAATGGTTTCCTGCAACTTCCTTTTTCACCTTGATTGTTGGGCTTCGATTGATCCTCAGCCCGCACGGTACAGTGCAGAAACAGATGCACGTCGGTATCCACTGATGAAGCAACCGAGACCAGTTGACAGAAATGTGACCCTCTTGTTCCAATATAGTTGATGGTCACCGGAGGATTTTCTTGTGTTGGACTGGTTTCTCCTTACTTCACAGTTAGTTCTCCTAGAACCGTCAGTTCGACAGTGGGTCTCGTCGCTGCCTTCCACGCTGCCTTCCACACTCTACCGTTCTCTGCTCCTTGTCTTCTTCCACTTACGCATTCATTTGTCTTTCATTCACTTGCTACTTCAGTTCATGCATGACAGGTCCCAGTTTTCCTATCATCGTCTTCTTATTCCTTTCCATCTATTTCATTTCGTTGGCACCTCTGAGAAGTAATATCAGAATTTGAGTAGCTTTGGTCTCTTGCATGCAAACTCCAGAGATTGATTATAGACTATCTTATCTGTAAATGATAGTATGCATTATCCAGTTGTAAATCTTGAAGAGATTTTGGGCTTTGGTGTATCAGTAAAGATGTGCTACTTACGTTTTATACATAATAACGAGAGTTGGAACAGCTAGTGAGGCAGAGAAGAGTACCTGAAGTTCCGTGAATTGAACCACTCAACTACTTTAAAATGGGCATGCACACAGTAGAGATGTCAGAATCTATACACACAAAATTGATGACGACGTTTGCACCTGCTCTTGCAGACAGATGATGTGACGAGTTCTATTGGACGTTCTTACATGGCTTTAGTCATGGGCACCCCTAGAAAACAACAAGGGAGAATTTCAGCTTCATTGATTAAGGTATAAACACTGGGAGAGATTGTAAAAAAGACTTGAAAAATTTTGAACGGACTGTCTTCCTTCGTTTTGCAAGTCGTTTTTGTAGTCGCTCACGTCAAATTTTACTCTACGCTCAGCATTAGAACGTTTGCATTGAAGGGCACCCAACCAGGATTGATGTTCTTTCCACGTGCAGACTACAATTCTTCTGATGTAACAATGCTTCAATATAGGTAGAAAGGATCGCGTGCTAGTCTGACCTTAAAGACAATGTGAAACCTCTTTTCGAAGTATTTAACAAGAATAGGTCACTAATTACTGTTTCACCACGTTACAGATGGTTGTAGACAAAGGAAACTCTGAGAAGATATTGGTTGCCGATGACGAGTCGAGTGCCGGTGCACAAGTTGCTATCACCGACTACAAAGTTGTGGGGTCTTCAAATTACGGTGAGCCAAGCATCATGCAATAGAACACAGCGGATAGATATTTCAAGTTGTTGATCTTGTATGTTTATTTAGTTCCCTTACATCTGTACTGCCTTGGTTTTTGTGTCCAGGCTGCACATGGTTGGAGTTAAGACCTTTAACTGGCAGAAAACATCAGGTACGAAGGAAAGCCCAACCAATATTATTCTACTCTAATTTCATTCTAGCTGTTAGTTATTGGTGCCGACTATGGCTGAATCGCATTTGCTTGCATAACGTATCCAAAAATCTTTTCAATTGCAGTGCTTTGAGAACTTTTTTAAATATAATATTGTCGTATTGGAAGAGATTTTAGGTTGACACGTCACATCTCTCAGCTATTGACTTGCCCACATTTCCTTCGGGCTTCCTTAAGACTGATAGTTGTATTCCTACCGATTTTACAGCTGCGGGTTCACTGTGCGGAAGTACTTGGAACTCCTGTCGTTGGAGACTTCAAGTATGGCTGGAAATCTCACAGGAGCTGGAGTGAACATCACCTGCTGCAAAATCCTGATACATGGTCCTTAGCAGAAGGTTTCATTGTAGAAGGATTGAACAACTCAGAGGCCATAGGCAATTTGAAGAAAGTGAAAGGAAGTGTTATGTCAAAAGATCCAATGCTTCATTTGCATTGTCACGAATTGACCATACCTGATCCAGCTAGATTACTAGAAATGGGCCGTAGTCAGATAGATGAAAATGATTGGGCTCAAAATCTTCGATTTGTTGCTCCTCTTCCTCCACACATGGCTGTGAGTAAAAGTGTGTTATCAGTTGTTTAAACCCCGACAAGGAAGGCATGAATCTTCTCCAGCGTAAGAGCATAACAAGGTTTTCGTGTCAGCTTATCTTTAAGCAGGAAACGACACAGGCCGTTAGGATATAGAAGGCCAGAAACTGAATAACCCGGCTAACGCAGTGTGGAAAGTTGCAGTTTCTGTTTGACAACTTGGATATTCTCAAACAAAAAGTGACCTGAAGGTTCTACTTCCAATCAAACGCTCTAAATCCGCCTGCAAAAGTGTTCCTCCGGTGTCATTTCAGAAAATCGGATCGAATCGACTTCCTTTGACCACAAATTAACAATGTCATCGGTATCACTCCAGCCGCACTTGTGGACCAAACAGTATTCGCTACGAGTCACGTGTAAGCCAAGTTTTAAAATGGCGAAGTTGGCTCACTTTATCTTTCTCGCTAAGATTTTCACTCACGTCCAACTCATGGTCTTTTACGAACCTTGATCTATATCTGGCTATCGTCTGGGTTGGAATTTCGATGAACACAATTTCCAATCTTAGGAAACTAAGGAACCTTTAATGACTTTGTTCCCCGCGTTTTGATCAAAGGGCTCGAGTTATTAGGCTTACATTAAGTGTGTACCCGTCTTTGCACTAAAGTGTCTGGCAATTCAGTAAAACTGAAGTATTTGTAGAGGATTTGTTTGTACTAACGTGATTACCAATCGTCGGTGCTCAGAGTTCCAAAATGAAAATATAATGCTTCCGTATGTGTCTCACTCTGCTCACGTCACTATGGAGATCTTCTGTACAAGGTCATTGAGTGGAAATAATGTTGGCATAGTGCACAACAACAATCGAGGTGCAAAGTTCAAAGCTTGAAAGTACATTTGCTTTTGCCTCCAGTATAAGAAGGTGATAGGATTATGGCTGATCCAGAGCAGGTACCTACAAGAGTAGTACGAAGCGAGAACGTAGACCGTAGGGGACGTGGGTTTCGCCTTGGATTACATCCTCCGTACTTCAAAGCATCCAGCGAAATGAGAAATAAAAAAATTAAACGAAAGCTGTTGTAGGCATGGGTTCAGGAGTGTCACAACAAACAATGAACCTACTACTACTGAAGCATCACATGGACATGTTGACGACAGCCCGTGGTGGCTACGATGTTAGACTCCACAGTGAGTGCCATCGAGAAATGATATACGTCCTCGTGGTCTGTAAGTACAAGGAGATTCTTTTGGAAAGGAAGGGCACCGGTACATGTAGCCACGACCTTCAGGAGCATACAAGTTGAGCTATTTTCTCTGGCCTGTACGTTGTGAACATGCACTAGACCAAGGGAGGGAGGGGAGGGAGGGAGGGGGAAACCGAGTGATAGAGCCAAAAGGATGGGATGATCCCATCAAGTCGATCCACTAGAGCTACGATGTGTAGACCCTCATTATCAGCGTGTAGATCGAGCAAGTTACCAGGTTTTGCAGGTCGAACTCTAGAGAATGATTGGTACAGTTCGCTTCAGCTGGTGGCTTGGCTACCAGTAAGTACCCTGACGCTGATGCTGCTTCTGTTGTGAGTTCCATCGTACCACTACTACCATAGCCCAAGCCTCAAGCTCTTACCAGTCCGAGGAGGATTGTAATCCAGGCTCTCATCAGGACGTACGGTCGTGACAGCATGCTCTTTCGAGCAGCTCCAGTGAGAAAGTGGCATGTTCAGCTCGAAAGCATCGGTGGGAGGCTGAAATTCAAAACCTGACGCTTCTAATTCTACCCCCAGGTATTGACCCGTAGACCTCTGTATCGTGTACAGTAGTCGGGCCTCGTACATGATGAAATCACGAGAGTCTACTTGTATCGTTGAGCCGCCACCGATTCTCGGAAACATGACCTGTACAGGCTTCCCATCCCGGACACAGTCGACGACATCTCAGATCTAGCTCGCTCCTCCCTCGTACATACCACGCCGTTACAACCAACAATTGATTATATTACTGTAGTTTGAATCTCGGTATGTTAACTAAGCATGTACAATCTGTTGGACTGGGACAGGTACGGTGTCAGATCGAGTCCTTAGAGGTCATAAGTTCCCACTCCATTTCCCAGCATCGTACTCCCAGTGAGCTGCAGCAGCACCAGCTGCTGCTGCTGCTGCTGCTGTTTCTCGGAGAATTGGCGTGAATAGGAGAGAGTTGAATCTTGGTTCCAGTCAAAGCGACAACGGCGAAGGTCCTCCGCCTTGCCTGGAAGCTCCAGCGTATGATACCCACTGTCACATGAATTCAGGAGGTACGGTGCACAAATGTACAAGTACAGTGGGCAGGACTCGCGGGTACAGTTTAGAGCTGGGGGGAGGGATTGAGTGAGTGTGGAGCAGAAAGAGACAACTGACTGCTGGAGTTCTGCTTAACGAACGACTGAGCGCTAGATCTTTTCTCGAAACTTTACATGGATGTGCATGTAAGCCCAGCAGGCAATATTCACTACTCATTTCGATCCATGGTCGTAGTAGCATGAGCGGCCGATAGCAAATTGGTGTTGGATTTCAAGGTACTTGGCCGGGAAGTACTGGCTACTGGTCTAGTACTGCGGCTGGAGAGTCGGACCATGGCTTCCCTTCCCACATGTCTCCTGCAGCTGGCAAAAGGATGGATGTTGTGGAATACGTGGGTAGCCAGCGCCCCCAGCGACACAGCTCGCAATGGCGCCCGCCTTGTTTGGAGCATGTATCGTGAGACGCAATCGGAGGAGGTCCATTTTGGCAATGATCTATGAAAAGCAAATGACATATGGACTGCATGTACTTGGGTGAGATAGAGGCACTATAATTGGCTCGGGCACTGGTCCGCTGGATTGTACAATCATGATAAAGCAAAAGTGTCCGCTTGCGCTCGTACATACCATGGGGGTCTAGCCCATAAGCATGACACAGGTCGAGTGACGATCTCTTCTTGTTCAGGTTGCTTGCATCACAACCGAATGGAATGGTAGCGAAGTAGGACTGGAATTCGGAAGTACTGAAGATGCCAAAAGTGGCTGTGAGAGGCTACAGCTATCGAGCAAGGACGATGGTGTATTCATGTCATTCTTGTCTTACTTACTTGTACTTGCGCGGTGCGAGCAGCAGCTAAGATAGACACAAATGCCCCATCGCTAGTTATCAGCACCCCGCAAGGACTCTCTGCAAATGCTTCGACTGTGAGCGCACATGATCTTGGCAAGTGAGCAGCCGAGCGCTCGGTGTTGCCTCGTACTGCACTCTCTCCTCTTCGATCGCTGTCTGTTCGCTTGGCTACGATTCAGCTGATGCTACGCTACCAGTGTTATTGTGTTGTACATCTGATTTGTTGATAACGATTCCCCGGATTATGACTCACCCTCTGACCTGTGCATGAACCCGGCCGCTGTACTGAACCTCGAGTTCATGGCTAATATGATGCTGGACCATAATTTAATCCGGGCCCGGATCATGCTCGATCCTGCACAGAAAGCCATGCGACATCATACGTGCTCGAGCATGTTCTACTCTCAGCCGAGACCTTTATATATACAAACCGAGTTATTAGCAAGCACGATTCCATCGAGCTTAGCAAAAGAGCGCAACAGTGGGAAAGAAGACGATGCGATTCCGAAATCCAGCACAAGACTCAATGTGAGAAGTCAAGCATCGAAGCCTCTGAATGTCTGACACGGCGAAGAAGACGCATGTGCAGATGCAGACGAGCTCGTGAACCCACAATTGACAATCAGAACTTGCTTTTGCGAGTGAGGAGGGAGTGAATGAGTCAATGAGTGGAGTTATTAATACCAGATAATGAGGAGCAGATGAGCTCGACCCCGAGAGAGAGAGAGAGAGATGAGCCAAGTACGATTACCGCATTCATCGAAGTCGAGTCTCATGATCACAAAGCACATCATTCCGCCAGCAGTTAAAAAGTCCTCGAGAGAGTCCACAGACATACACACTCACACACCACCACCACCAACAACAACAACGACGCACTCCCCCTCTTTCTCTTTGAATGGATCAAAAGGAAACAGAAGGAGAAGGAGTCACTCATTTAGGCGAGCGTAAGCATGTTTATCCATCATGGAGTTAAGACTACGCCTTCTGACGAAACGAGCACAGTACAGCCCATGTGATTGATTCTCCTGTCTTTTACTCCGAGGCGCCTGGCACACCACATTCTATACACACCGCAATGGAGGCCTATTTAGTAACACGTTTCTGCACTCACACAATGTCGTGTACACCAGTTGTTTCCTGTACTTTTGCAGAAGATTGTACATTGTACATCTGACCTGCCGGGTTGTCAAGTTTATGGTGTAGAGTACGACCCTGCGGCAGTAGCTGCGGCTGCTGAGCTCGGGCTGCTGCTGGGCTGCTGCTGCTCGGTCAAAAGTGGAGCACAAAAAAGATGTACTGTAAGTCCATGGATAAATGAAGACCAGCTGTATCAAGATTTCATATACTCCCCTCGCACGCGCACACGCACATACACGCACAGACGGCCAGAAAGACAGTCGGGTCCGAGAGGTATGCATTCGAGTCTGTGGCTATGGGTGGTGAGACTCCTATCCATTGCGCTTTTCTCGGAAGGATTTATGCTCAGAATTAGATTAGACCGTAGTTTCTCCTTGCGTAGAGGAAATAAGACATCTGTTCTCATGGAGCCCCGTCTCCATCTGCTCCAGCAACAGCGAGAGGCAGTAGCAGCAGCCGCAGCTGATGATGCTGCTGCTGCTGTTGTCGAGATGAGATGAGATGCGATGGTGATGGCGATTCATCACAATGCGTTCGTTCGGTACGTGGTCTTCAGAAAGTGCACCTCCTCCTCCTACACCGACATATATTCCTGTTATGACATGCTGTAAAATATTGGTTACCGACTTCATTCGACATGGATTATTTCGCTCTGCCACCCTGTCAGCCGTGCTCTGCTTTATGCACCCCCAGGCCTCACTCATTCATCCTTCTTTATTGCTCTTCCAGGCCCTTGCAGCTTTTGGTCAATTGCTCTAGGCTCCCGCTGGCCCAGCCCACTTCTCTGCTCTCCTCCATGCCTCCATCCCCACCCCCCAAACCCCAACCCCCGCCCTACTCGCTTCCTCATTTTCGTTATCTCTCATAAATCTTTAACATTTTATCCTTGTAGGATGACATAATCTGCACATCCGCCATCTGATTCATGATTGTCACCTAAAAAGCCTCGAATTTTGCTGCCTACTTGACTTTTGGCACTACATGATGTTCGATTGTCTCGGCCTCTCGAAGAGCTGGTGCTCTTGTATTTTGGACGACATACTTTGCCCTCGGAGAAAGTGCCGATGAGAAAGATGTATCTTCAATTCCACGAGACGGATTGTTCGATGGGAATCGGAACTCGTGAAACTGGCAGTCACTTTTCTCGGTAAAGAGGGAAGAAAGTCAATGCGGCCAGCATCGCAAGCTCACCAGCACCACCTGTGATGTTCTGGAGACTATGATTTCCTTCAGTGGCGAGGGTGGGCATTCATCAAAGATAGAATGTTCTTCTAATAATGCCCCGAGATATTTCCCAGAACCATCGTCCATAATCCAATTCTGGGTTATATACTGGAAAAATGAACGAGCGAAACATTTCGAAAGATTTTGGCTCGAGGAGAAGACGGGGGGCATCGAGCAGGGGAACCTTTTACGGGGAAGACCAAAAGAAGACACGGGCTGGGGGCTGGGGGCTCGGACAGGGGGCTGCAATTAGGAATGACGGGGCCTCGAGATGCGTGCGCGGGTGAGGGATGGGGGCAGGGGCAGACAACTAGACTCAACTAGGGTCAGGGGGGTTGCCACTGTAGAGTCACGACGACCGAGCAGGTGTGCTAACAGTGATAGTCACGTTTGGGATTAGGACGACTTGAGAGGTCAAGCGGGGCTTAATTACGCCGGTCACGTTTAGCACCAGAGTAGGTCACGTTGGGGGCAGCGGAGTTTGGGGTTAAGTGAGTCGCCGGTCAACTCACATCAAGGGTCATGGTCGAACTCATGCTGGGTCATGCTGGGGTCTTCGCGTCAGGCCCGACGTGATCTTTTCGGCCGCGGCTGAGACGCACAGTCGACAGTCGGGACAGTCGAATCACACGTCACGCCACGACGATCGAGCATGTCGTCAGACTGGAACAGTGGGCTTAGGATAAGGTTCAAGAGGATCTTTGACAATATTCCCCACCTTCCACTTTCGAGCAAGCCCCGATCACCGCTTCCGGTCTCAGCCCCCAATAGAAAGAGAACCCCATGTTTCATAATTAGGAACCATAATTCCAGTCCCATGCTCTTGCATGAGCCTTGAGCCCCATCCCACTCCCTCCCTCTCTCGACCGGGCCAGCCGGTCATCAGCCCCAACCTCGTAGCCCCTCCCTTGTCCCCACTGCGTACTGAGCTCGCCTGTCAGTCTGTCAGTCCGTCAGTCATTCTCCATGATTGTACTCCTTCCTGGCCTTTTCCTTTGGGTGCATTCCTTCCCCCCACCTTGAAGTCAAGGTATTCATGTCTGGTGGTATTCAGATCCATCATGGATGACAACTATACACGACAATAGAAGCAACAACTAGATGGTGAACGAGGGCAATCATGCGATGAATCGGTCGTTCATCCGGTCCGGTCTACTTCTACTCCAGATTGATGTGGTGTGATCATCTGTTCAGTGAATGATAGTCTGAAGTTGGAGAGGGAAGTGGGCAATTGCACAGCATCGGTCTTCGTATGAAAGTCCTCATGAATCAGACTCGTTCTTTCGCAGCCTGTCTGCAGAGCTGGGCGAGTTATAACCAGGCCCAGCTCACGACAGTAAATGACATCTTCAGTGGATTTCGGGCCTTCTCTGAGACCATTGAGTGCCGTCAGCACAGAAAAGGTCTGCAGACGTAGAATACCTTGTCGATGTGTATACTGGACTCTCTCCACACTGAAGACTTCGTGCTGCTTTTACCTCGATCGGCAGTATGTGTAAGTTCATGTACATGTATATGTTCTGAGATAAAGCGAGGGATAAAAAAACAGTGTCGTGGATTTGCTTCTAACTCGTACTTGCAGTCTTTCCTCGCATACAGCTTTTGCCAAGCAGCAGAACAAAACTTTGTTTGATTCGGACAGTTAAGCGACCTTTCCGTGCAACTTGAGGAACCGGAGACTCCATAGAGCACTTAGTGTTCGGACTTCTGGGTAGAGTAAGCCCAGCAGAGCTGTCAAGTAACAGAAACTGGTGGCTGGCTGGCTCGCTGGCGGGCAAGCGGGCGGGGGCGGGCTGCTGGCTGTGTACATTCGAAGGAATACATGTCGAGACATGTCGTTACCATGTGCTAAGCATTTCTCGAAAAGTGCATCAATTATTCTGCATAGCAGCGAACATGAGTGATGAAATTTCCTATCTCTCCCGCAACGACTCACACTCTGCGCAAATTCTCCTCTTCCCCCAATCCCAGCTACGACGACCGGTCTTCTCCCCTGGAGTATAGAAGCTGCGAGTTATGACTGGTGACGGGTGAATGTACGTGACATGCGCTGCCTGTGTCCAGTCATGCGACTTCAGATTCGTTTGAAATGGTCCCTCGATGCAGTCCCAAAAAAATCCCCAAAAAGTTAGCCTCTCCTCTCAATGCAGTCATGCGACTTCGGATTCATTTGAAATCGTCCCTCGATGCAGTCCCAAAAATTCCCAAAAAAGTTAGCCACTCCTCTTACCGCAGGCATGCGACTTCAGATTCATTTGAAATGGTCCCTCGATGCAGTCCCAAACAAATCCCCAAAAAGTTAGCCTCTCCTCTCAATGCAGTCATGCGACTTCAGATTCATTTGAAATGGTCCCTCGATGCAGTCCCAAAAAAATCCCCAAAAAGTTAGCCTCTCTTCTCAATGCAGTCATGCGACTTCAGATTCATTTGAAATGGTCCCTCGATGCAGTCCCAAAAATTCCCAAAAAAGTTAGCCACTCCTCTTACCGCAGGCATGCGACTTCAGATTCAATTGAAATGGTCCCTCGATGCAGTCCCAAAAAAATCCCCGAAAAGTTAGCCTCTCCTCTCACTGCAGTCATGCGACTTCGGATTCATTTGAAATGGTCCCTCGATGCAGTCCCAAAAATTCCCAAAAAAGTTAGCCACTCCTCTTACCGCAGGCATGCGACTTCAGATTCATTTGAAATGGTCCCTCGATGCAGTCCCAAAAAAATCCCCAAAAAGTTAGCCTCTCTTCTCAATGCAGTCATGCGACTTCAGATTCATTTGAAATGGTCCCTCGATGCAGTCCCAAAAATTCCCAAAAAAGTTAGCCACTCCTCTTACCGCAGGCATGCGACTTCAGATTCAATTGAAATGGTCCCTCGATGCAGTCCCAAAAAAATCCCCGAAAAGTTAGCCTCTCCTCTCACTGCAGTCATGCGACTTCGGATTCATTTGAAATGGTCCCTCGATGCAGTCCCAAAAATTCCCAAAAAGTTAGCCACTCCTCTTACCGCAGGCATGCGACTTCAGATTCATTTGAAATGGTCCCTCGATGCAGTCCCAAAAAATTCCCAAAAAGTTAGCCTCTCCTCTCAATGCAGTCATGCGACTTCGGATTCATTTGAAATGGTCCCTCAATGCAGTCCCAAAAGTTCCCAAAAAATTTAGCCACTCCTCTTACCGCAGGCATGCGACTTCAGATTCATTTGAAATGGTCCCTCGATGCAGTCCCAAAAAAATCCCCAAAAAGTTCGCCTCTCCTCTCAATGCAGTCATGCGACTTCGGATTCATTAGAAATGATCCCTCGATGCAGTCCCAAAAAATTCCCCGAGTGTAAAATCGGCAACCAGACACAATATTTCATTCAAGGGGTTTGACTCTTTCTTGTAAAGAAATATTTGACTTTCATTCACGTGGCCATTTGGGTAGAAGAGCCTGTGGAAATAGATTTGGCTTTCATTCATCTGCAAGGGGGCTTGGCCCTTTCCTTATTACCATTTGGGTCAAGGGGCCTGTGACGTTTGGCCTTGGTGACTGCGCAGGCTCACCACGAGGGTTGTATATTTCCATGATAAGGTTGAGCTAAGAGTGACAGACATGCTCGTCTGAGCTGGAGGGCACGTATTCCAAATTCGGTGCGTTACAGGGTCGGTGTCATCGCTCGACTCGTGTCACGAGACGGGGCTTGGGGTGGAACTTGGGGTTGCCCTGGCTAGGGGTCGGGATGGCAATCGCCCGTGCTGCGGGCCTTCACATCCGGCCGCATTTCGGCCGGATTGAGGAAGTGGGCTAACACTGGCTGCTGGAATCCGGCCACGAACTAACCGACGCAAGAGAGTATGTGTGCAGACACAATTACATTCCCATAACATCGGGTCCACGGTGGGCAGAGTCGTGGCGGTGGCTGTGGCCAGAGGTAGTGGGGTGCAGACAATCCTGTGAGCAATGTTGTGAGACAGTGTAACGACAAGTCTTGGGCGACAATTCCTCCCTGTCTCCAGCAGAACCTGGAGCGAGGCGAGGCGTCGAGGGCAGGGAAGCTAACACTCTTTTTGTCGAAATCGACGTCGAGGTTCACCCACGGATATAAAGAACGCTCGACGCACAACACGGAATGGCATGCAGACAAGAGAATGTGAGGAAGGGAGGAAGGAAGGAAGGAAGGAAGGAAGCAAGGACAAACGGCAGAACCGAGTCAGTTCCAATCAGCACGTGAATTTTCACACCTGTGTTCAATTTAGTTACAAACAAGTATGTGCACTACCTAAAACGTAGCTCTATAGTGTCTTGGGACTCAACACCCTCAAAATTTGATTCTTCAGCTGAAGGGAGAAGAGACTCGTACATACCATTGGTGGCCGTTCTGAGAACCCATCATTACATCCATCACCCTACAATGCTAAACTGGCCCTACCTAACGCTAACTACCTTGTTGCTTTGCATAAGCACGCTACAAAAGTCATCAAAAATGGGATCAGCCAGCAGCCTGGTCTCTGCACTTAGTGCAATTCTATGACAAGACTTGTGGCCTACTTCGACAATCATTACAGCACAGCATGTACATGTGTGGTCAGACAGACCTGCCCACTAGGGTCTAGCAATAAAGTGGAACCCTACTCTCCACACCATTGAAGTCATGTTTCCCCAACGGACCTGCCAACTACTACCTTGATTTCTCTTATGAGTGCTGAAAAGAATGATGTATGGATGAACTATGAAAAGAAACAAACACTGCTCACATACCCTAGTAATTTCCGCCATTGAACCTGTTTTGACGGTGAAGAAGTCACATCTAAATCAGAGTACGAGCATTGATTCACAACCATCCACCTTAAAAATGTGACATAGCTTTGGGTACTTTCATAGTCCTGTCACAAGTACAACCACGACCTCTGCATCAGCATCCGTGTCAGACGAGATAGTCCACACCGACAGTCCAGATGAACACCCTATTCCAGCAACGATCGACAGTTGTGAGATAATCTGCAAAACTTGCTCTGAAATCTCCTTAAGAATTGTGTATATGCACGTACCTGTAATTATTTCACAATAAGCTGACTAGAGCATTCCACCAAAAGCGACGAAGAACAACTTCTTCAGGTTGCCTGTAATCAAATGACGAGTAATCATAACCGATTAGAAATGGGAAGGCTAATACGTATATTCGAGAGCTATTAAGGCACAGTAGCAGGCAAGCAGTCCACTCAAGAGATGGACTACATCTTCGGCAAGCACCAGCGAATGGAAAGGGCACGGGAATTCACGCAAATCCAAGACCTAGAAATGCAGTGACACAAGGGATCCTCTCAAGCAGCTTTGGCAGGATGACAATTCAGAGTTCCTTACTTAAATATGTAGGAGGGACATTTCCAATGTAGCTTGAGAAGTGTGAGTTGAATAAGCACTCAGCGCAGTCGCTGATCCCGGATCAGACGCTATAGCTAAACCTTGCAACATATTTAGGACATTCGATGTGTCATCCAGGTAGTATTTCGCCTTGCTGGGCTTCTGTCCTACGGTGCACGCAAAAACTTCCGCCATCGAGGACTGCGGAGGGAGTGACATGGTCGTCGCAATGCTTTCGAACATGTCTTCATCCGACCTATCGTCTCCAACGCATAAAACAAAATCGGGAGGTGATCCTCGTTCTGCCATCATAGAAAGCAGCTTCTCCACAATAACACCTTTGCTCACACCCTGCAAAATTACAGGCCCTGTCAGAGAAGAGCACAGCAGCACACAACGGCGTTCTCGCTGAACGGAAGAACCAACAGCAGACTGTAAGCCCCATCGAGTGGCGGGGGCCACTCCTTACCTGCGGTTTGACTTCCACAATGTGTTGACCACTTTTTACAGCGACAGGCTCGTTAGCTAACACGCTCTCGAGATGGTCCAGTAGCTCCTTCGCTTGCCACGATCCGAAGTCCGGATCTGCATCTCGATAATGCCACACTATAGCGCTTTCCTTTTCTTCGATTATAGAGCCATCTGTGCTCTCGGTGTACAAGTTCATCACCGGAGCGGCGACTTCCTTCCACTCAAAATCCTGTACCGACACACAGGTGGTCCACTCCTCGTCCTTTCTCCACCTGAATCCCAAGTTCGAGGCACGGCCTCGTCAGAACGGAAAAACGCTTCCTCTCCAGAACCCACAAAAATTACCCACCCTCGGCTAGCAACATCAGCTCCACAGAACCCTCAGAATACCTGAAACCAGCAGATCCATGACTGTCCTCCCAGACATCGCCCAACCCTAAAAACATACCCCTCCCAAAAACGTAAGCACCACGCCTGAATTTTCGAGGTCCGAATTCTCGTGCGAGGGCGGCAATCCGAGACATACAAAAATTCGTTCGGAGCGGAATTGTCTCCCACGGCGTCGATCATGGCGTGGGGAAATCGGATGGGGAGGAAGGGACTCACCTGTAGTAGTAGCCGTGCTCGGCAGCAATTCCCAGTCGCTCGCACGGAGAGAACCAATCCGAAAGGGTTTTGCGGCCTCGGCCGCTGACGATGAAAACGGAATTCTTGGGGTCGTTGCAGAGCGTGTTCAGAAGGGTGATCACGTCTTGATTCGGGGTCTTGTTGTGAGATGTCTGCGTGATCATGGTGCCGTCGTAATCCAGCAGAATGGCCCTCTTCTGGCTGCGGCCGTAGGCGGACACAATGTGCTCGGTGAGGAGCTTGCGGAAGTTGGGGTCCAGGGCCACGACCTTGAAGCTCAATCCGAATCCGATGCCGTAGGATCGCCGCCGCTGGTGGTCTCGGCAGGTGCGCTCGAGGTCCCCCATGAAACTCTGAGCCCAGTATGCGACATCGTGCGTGCTCACGTACTTGAAGTGCTTCTCGTGCCGCATGTGCTTCTCGGCCGTAGGCATCGTGATCGCTGTGTTCAAGGCATCCGCCATCGTTTCGATGTTCCAGGGGTTGACCCGAATGGCGCCGCTCAGCGAGGGCGAGCACCCAATGAACTCCGACACCACCAGCATGCTCTGGCGGGCGGTCTCGGCGCTAGCGCCATTGGCAGGCTCGGCCGCGACGCAGCCCTGCCTCGCCACAATGTACTCGTACGGGTGCAGATTCATGCCGTCGCGCACCGCCGTGACTACGCAGCACTCGGCGATAGCGTAGAAGGCCAGGCGCTCGTACAGCGGGACCGACCGCTCGAGCAGCACCACGGGCTGGTAGCCCTCCCACCCGAACTCGCGGTTGATTCGCCTGGCGATGGTGCTGGCCTCGTTCTGAATTTCCAGCACGTCCTTGCCCCGGCCCCGGGCGGGCTTGACGATTTGCACCAGCACCACCTTGCCCCTGCGCTGCGGGTGCTGCTTGAGCAGCTGCTCCATCGCCAGCAGCTTCAGCCCGATGCCCTTGAAAATGTCCATGTCGTCCACGCCGAGCAGCACCGTCTTGCCCGCATACTCGGCCCGCAGCTCGCCTATTCGCCACTCGGTGTCGTGGCGCTTCAACCTCGTGTTCAGCTGGCCCATGTGGATGCCCACGGGCATGATCTTGATGCCCACAGTGCGCCCGTAGTACTCCAACCCCATGTAGCCACGGCGCGACTCGTACACGAGGCCGAGCATGCGGCTGCAGCACGAGAGGAAGTGGCGCGCGTAGTCGAAGGTGTGGAATCCGACCAGATCCGCGTTGAGCAGGGCGCGGAGGATTTCGTCGCGCACGGGGAGAGTGCGGTAAATCTCCGAGGACGGGAAGGGGCTGTGCAGGAAGAATCCGAGCTTGATTTTGTTGAAGCGCCGGCGCAGGAAGGTGGGCAGCACGAGCAGGTGGTAGTCGTGCACCCAGACGAAATCGTCCTCGGGGCTGATCACCTCCATCACCTTGTCGGCGAACAATTTGTTGGCGCTCACGTACGCCTGCCAGAGCGAGCGATCGAAGCGGCCGCCGTGATCGGGCGCCAGCGGCAGCATGTAGTGGAAGAGCGGCCAGAGCAGCTGCTTGCAGAAGCCGTGGTAGAAATTGACTTGCACGTGGGCGGGCAGGAAGGCCGGCACGCAATTGAAGGTCTCGAGCAGCGCGCTGGCCACCTCGTCCTGCTCGCTCGGCTCCACCTCCACTTTCAGGCACCCGATGTAAATTACCTCCATGTCCTCGGGCAGCCCATCCTTGAGCTGCAGCACCAGCGAGTCCTCGTCCCAGCTGAAGGTCCAGCCGGTGTCGTCCGCCTTCCTCTGGGCCAGGAGCGGCAGCATGTGCGCCACGATAATTATGCGCTCGGTCGAGAGCGACGACGGCGCCTCGGACGTGACGCTGTTGCTGTTATCGTCGTCCCGGCCTTCCGCCGAGACAATGCCGGCCACCGTCATCACTCTGGGCAGGCGCCTGCTGCTGCGCGGAGCGACGCCCATGTCCCCCGCCGAGAGATCTAACAAATTTGCGTACGATCTTGACACCATCTTCGCCCCTACTTTCGTCTTCCGTTCCAATTGCTGGTAGTTTCAACTTGGGATGCGGACTGATTTGCAACATTGATTCGCTCCTCGCCCTGCCTCACGTCATCGAGAACTCCCTCTCCCCTCGGGGCTCCCACTCCTCGCTCACAATTTTCCCTCCCTCTCTCTCTCTCTTTCTACCGCGCTCTCGCTCCTTCTCCCGCTCGTCCTCGTCCTCCTGCTCTCCGCTCGCAAAACCTGCTTCGCCTTGCCTTGCCTTACCTTTCCTTGCCTGGCCTTGCCCCCGAGCTTCTCAGCTCAAGCCCATCCACGAACGCGGCGCTAGGCAGTCCCAGGAGGGCTGCACGTCAATGTCCGCAATTCCACTCTACGAGGTCAAAAGCGAGAGTGCGGAATTCCATCCTCGGGAAATCAGATGCGCTCCATTCCTACGTCGTCGGGTGTTTCCTCCCTCCCCTGCCAATCTTTTCTGCGAAAGAGCTGTCACAAAACCACCTGCTGCTCTTCTCTTCGTCTGGCGCACGTCAACAACTCGACGCTATCCGAATCCGCCGTCGTCCAGGTCACCTCACCTCACCTCACCTCACCTACCGCAAAAGCGAGGAATCTCGAACTCCGGGGAGCGCCTAAAATCTACCACCTGCTCGTTCACTCGCTCGCTCCTGCCTGCCTCCCTGCCCACGGCGGAGCACTCCGACTCCGCTCGGTGCTCGGTGCTTCCCCCGTCGAGACACGGGCGAGCGAGAGAATGGATGGGGCACGCGATCAGGGCACACAGCCCCTCGCAGAGAAACGAGAGCAGCAAAATTTGGGATTTGATCCCCGCGGGAATTCGCCCCGCGCAGCAGCAGCAGCAGCAGTGGATAGGGAAGTAGATAAGCGACGGCCGCTTCCGCGGATTAACGTGGCAGCGGCGAATGCGAGCGAGCGAGAGGAGTGGGCACGAAGGAATAGGAGAGAGAGAGAGAGAGAGAGAGAGAGGGGCTGGGGCTGGGGGTGGGGCTGCGAGGGGGCAAGGGAGGGAGAGAGGGAGAGAGAGAGAGAGAGGGGATGAGAGTGGTACAGCTGACACTGAAGGCGAGCGAGAAGCGGGGAAGATGGTGGGCGGGCAGCGAGGAAAGAAGAAGAAGAAGGCGAACAAGTGGTAAGAGGAGGAGTAGTGGTGGTGGTGGTGGTGGTGGTAGAAGGACAGTGCGCTAGCTCAGCCGAATTGACTCGCGACCTTTCCACGCACGGAAGAGAGAGAGAGAGTGAGAGAGAGAGAAGGATGACACAGAGAGACAGAGGAGAGAGAAAGCGCCAGATGGGGGGAAAGACAGTAGGAGAGAGAGAAGAGCGGAAAAGGGGAAAAGCAGAAAGAAGAGGAGGGAGCGAGGGGGAGCGTGAGTATCAAACAGATAGAATCGAATGATGCCTGCGCGCTTTGAAGTTGAGTGGATTAGCTTTGAAAGAGTGGGCGACTCGCGAAGAATGAATGCGTGAATCGAAGGGCGGAAGCACGGACAGGGGGAGGGGGGAAGGGGAAGGGAAGAGAGGAAGAGAGAGAGAGAGAGAGAGAGAGAAAGAAAAGATGATCTGCGCTGCAGCTGCGGCTGTGCTGCTGCTGCTGCTGCGGTTCAGTTGTGCGCTGTGTTGTGCTGATGGGCTTCGCTTGCTTGCGACGCTCGCTCGCTCGCTCACTCACTCGCTCACTTCTCTTCACTCAAGCCTCCGCCTGCCGGTGCTCGCTGCTGCTGCCCCGCGGCTGCTGCTGCTGCCTGCCTGCCTCGCTCCGAGCCAGCCAGCCACTGCCTGCCTGGCGAATTGCTGGCTCGCGTTCATGGAACAGAGCACTCAGACAACCAACGCCGCAACGACGACGACGACGACGCCCCAGTGCCCGTCGCCCCTCCGCGCTCGCCCGCCCCGCCTGCCTGCCTGCTGTGCCTGTGCCTGCCTGCCTGCTGTGCCTGCCTGCGACGTTAAGAGCGGCTGCTAGAAGATTAGATTGTACGCGGTTAGAGAGGTAGCGCGAGCGAGCGAGCGAGCGAGCAAGCAAGCAAGCGCGCACGAAAGAGCGAAGCGGGCGACCCGACCACCAGCTGCTGCAGCCCACCACCAGCCAGCCAACCATCCCCCAGCCAGCCGAGCAAGCCCAGCCCCCGCAGCAGAAGCAATGAAATATGAAATGTAATGAAATCCGAATCCACTCAGTGACAGCCCGGACCGCACTCCCACCCTCACCTCACCTCCCCTACTACTACTTCTATCCCCCTCGCCCCTCCCCACTCTTCACTTCACCCCCCGCCCCCGTGCCCCTGCCTGCCTGCCTGCCTGCTGGCCCCCCTTCGGCGTCCCGCCCCCCCTCCCTCGGCCTCCTCAATTCTCCCTCGATCCGCTTGCCCCCCCCTTTACTGCTATTCGCCCAGCCAGCCCACCACGCGAAATGTAATGAAGGACGGGGGGTAAAAGAAAGTTGGCGGTACGGGCCAAAGTCGTCGTAGGGCAGATGCCGACGGGTCGGCCATGAACCAACGAGAAACGCTCCGATAGGCACCACTTCCGGAGTGGGGTGTGGGCGAAGCGAGCCCCAGCCCCAGCGCCTCTGTAGATTCAGCAGCTCCTCCGTGAGCTCGAAGGCCAAGCCCCAAGCCAAGCCCAGGCCCTGCTCCAGCCCCTGGAGGTAGGGGGAGGGAGGCAGGCAGGCAAGGCCGGGGAAGCTCCCCCCGAGTCGCGAGCCCCGGCCGGACGGACGGAAGGACGGCCATCTAGCCTGTCACCATCACCGGCCGGGAAAGTGGGGCTGTTCTCCGATAGGGACAAGGGGGCAAGCGGCGGGCAGGGCAGACGGGGGGGGGAGAAGACGGGGCAGAGGAAGCGGATAAGGGCGGGTAGGGCCAGGTTGGCACCACGCTCGCCAGCCTGGCGGGCCGAGAGGACAAGAGGAGTTTTATGGGGGGTGTGTTTTCTGGCGCAATTACAAACCCGAGTTGTGGAAATCCGCACCAAATGTAGCGAGGACTTTAGTTATTGCGACCTTTTGTTTTTAAGATTATGGTAGGGTTGTATACTGGCCTCCTGCACACTCACTTCGCGGTTATGGTCAACACGTGCAACCCTCTTGCTTTGGACCAAGCGCAATAAAATCTGGATCTCCTCTCGAAAATGTCCTAATCCTTCACATAAAGGTGATTTATGATTTCCCCCTTCCCCTCCTTCTTATACTCTCACTCTCTTTTCCATCTCTCCTCCCTTCTTCTATTCCTTCCGTCTCTTCTGAGGGCTATGATCCCCGTGTTAATTCTTGAGAGCCATAGGGATGAGCTCACAAAAAATAAAAATTCTTGATAAGTATGTCCATGATTTTATTTTTTAAGTATTCAACTTCTCATACTTCGACGAGGTTGTCGATGTAAGAATGATTCGCTAGAAGGGTTAGATAGTGGACCTCGGTGCCGCGTAAAAGATCATGTCCTCATGCTCAATAGTGTATGAAGATTGCGAGTGCTTAGAATTAACACGCTAAGCCAAAAAAGTCCATGTATTTATTTGAAAAACAATGTTTCGGGTTGATTGTCTTTCATGTCGGCACAGCCAACAAGGACACATTGTGAACATTTGTCTCCCCAAAATTAAATTCAATAAATGTTCTTAGTTTCTCATTAAAAAAAACATCAGAAGAACTAACATTATCTAATGAATACTTCGTAGAGGTTATTTTAGAGCTCTAATGATAATTTACTATCGACTTTTTTTCTTGAAAAACTTCCTGGAGCTTTATGGGCTTGCTAACATTGCACCAATGGTTACGAACCCATTCTAATAATAAAAATCGGCACTCCAGCTTACATACCTAGTGCTATCTTTGTCAACTATGGTGGTCATGCGAGCAAGAGTTACCTAAATTCCCACTTTTGCTATCTAGAGTTAGCAAAAGTCTCACGCGTCTCACGCCAGAAAAATATCTTCTGCAACTTTACAAAGAAAAAATTACAATATTGTAGCCCGCAATTTCTCCAGTCATGACTCTCTAGATTTGACGCCAACGTATGTAACCCCTAACGTGGATTTGGAGAGGAAAGGGTGAAAATGGCTCTCGAGTCACATCTGCTTACTCCTTATGGTTCCATTTGACCAAGTTCTCCTTCTATAAGGTAATTTTGGAGGGTATTTCAATTTTCATCCAGAATCTCATCAATGTAAATTGTAAATATCATCCTTATCATACGCAAATTCTGTAAATTTTTTTCATTTAATTTCCCTATCTTCTATACAATTTTTAATTTTGAAAAAATAATTATTATTGGAGAAATCATATACACAGTTATTATTTTGAAATTACGGAATATTTATAGCTTTTAAGAGGTTTTTCTACCTTTTGTGGATCCAATAATACTCCAATGAATGAACCGCAAACTTTTTTGTGGAGATTCTTTGGTATGTGTGATGAGACACTTATACTTCAGACAAACTAGTATATTCTCATTCAACTTTGCATCCCGTTGATTATGATCAATTCATAACTTTGTGTGTCTAGCGTGGATTCGCAAATTTGCTCCTAATGCTAAATTCAAATTCTCCAGCTTCTACTCAAAAGAGTGCACCGTGGTGGATTCACCTATAGAGCTTACTTTTTATTATGGATTCATTCAAGACATTGCATTATTTTGATACAACTTTCTTCAGGAATAAAAATCTGCATCACAAAGTTTGATGTTGTTTTGACTTTCTTTGGCCATAGATTATCTTTCAAGCGTATTGATGTGACTATCAATTTCTAGGCATTCTTTATTATTATAATGTATTTTTATTATTTTATCATATCGTTCTGATAATAACGTTTTCAATTTTGACACGATGAAGAGTTGACATAGTTTTAACTTACATTCTGTGACTGAAATCCAAGGATGATGCAGGCACTAATCATGTTGATGAAGAGTTTGTAGCAGGATGAAGATGATCATCAACGGACTCACATACAAGTATGTTTTTCACTTTCATGTCAAGTGTTCAAAATTTGATGCATATAAATATTGTGCATACAAGAAATGATGTGATTTATTGGAAAATAACAAAGGACTGATTTCTTGATATAATTTCTATCCTATATTTGAGTATACATGCTTGTATGTATGCTGAGCTATAAAAAAAAAATATGAAAAATAAAACTGTAATTGCATTATGATTTCATATTATTGATAGATAGATCTAAAATTCTAACATTATTTCTGCAGGATTTTGTATGAAAAATATGTTTATTATTATGAAACGTACGAGATATGTATGCAAAAGATGATGCAGTTTAGTTTGGACTTTACATGAAGTGAATATTATTTAAGATTTGGATTGTAAAGTCGATTTTCACAACATATGAACAATAAAGTTAGAATAAATGTAACAGATTTATTTTACTCAGAATTTGAAGTATGAGTGTTTTCTTATCTGCCTTATGCGACAATGAAACTTGTTACATCAAAACTATACATATATATTAATGAATTGTGAGATCATTAATATTTGGAAAATAAGAAATTAATTGTATTGAGAGTGTTGTGTGTATCTTATTATAATTTTACAAATCGGTAAGTAATTTTTTCTCCTTCAATCCAATTTTTTTTTTCAATTTTCAATCATGAATTTTATTTATTATAATCATACTATAAAATATATTTAAAAATATGGGGAAAATCATATATATATATATATATATATATATTACTGATACTTTTCAATAAATGGAATTAAATTTTTTTACGAAAAAATCATTTTAAATATATAAAGAATGTGCTGATGTTTAAAATATAGAAAATGGAACATAATGTACAATTCAAAGTGAATAAATTATATATATATATATAATTAAAATTTTAAATAAAATCATATATCTTAATATAAAATAGTGATAAAAAAATTCATGGTTCAATAAAAAATGCTCAAAAAATAATAAACTTAACTATGAATCAGAATGATTGAATATATCAAATCCAATAAAGTTTTCTGTAAAAAATTCTATAAATGTAATAAAATGTATATCTCTTTAATATGATAATTTGCTTATCATATCACTAAATTCTATAAAATAAATTTATATTTGATATAATTATTATAATCCTTTTTTCAAATATACTTAATGAGTTCATTTTTTTCCATAAGTAGATATATTTTTTGGAATTAAATGAGCAGAAATTTTTCAGATATAATAATAATGTTATTAATTTGTGTAAAATTATACCTAATGCATGTAATTCCAACATGTATAATCATAGTCATATGACCAATAAAAGTATAATTTTGGAGTGTAAGAGCATTCAAATATACATAAAATAAAGTTTATTGAATTTTTGAAGTCATAATTATTTCATATTTTTTATTATCTATTTAGAAAAATCATAGTCACGAATAAGATATTTGAGATGAAAAAAATGGGTTTCACAAAGACAAATAAATCAAAATTGTGTATGTTACATAAATTTATTTTTAAAAAGTAAAATTTTATTTTATTTGAAATTTACAATTATGAATAAAAGTGTTAGAAAAAATATAATATTCTTTTGAAAACATATTTGATTAAATTTTGTAACATATAATTTTTTTCATAAATAACAGACATAATTATACATAAGTCTTTCATCATGTCACTCTCACCAAAATTTAAATATGAGTAGAATTGAAGCAAAAATATTTAAAAAACTTTAATTTTTTTTCCAAAATTGTACTTAAAAAGATTCATTTATTATGTTTTAGTTATTCTTTTGATTTTAATAAATGTTGTCTATGTATCTTGATTTAAAACCTTAAAAAAACTTCAACAATATCTTACAATTAATTTTATTTGATTTTTTGTAAATAGTGAGCAAGTTAGCAACCATCAAACTAGCAATACAGTGTTCTGAGTAGTAAAACACCTATGCTGTCTCAACCAAGGATTGATGAAAAAAAATGGCTGACCAAAAGAAGACAAGGTAGATTAGGGAGTTAACTGCAGAAACTTACAACAAGAACTGCACGTGGGAAACGGTAGACTAGATAAATCTAACGTCTTCCGCTTTTGTATTCAAGATACAAGATTTGGCACATAAACTATTAGTTTAATAATTTGATATCATGATTAATTTATATTCAAAATAAATATACTGCTTTAATATAGTAATTATA